ACTCTCTCTCTCTCTTTCTGTCTCCCACTCTCACTCACACACACAGACGCACTCTTGTTGTTTGGGTTCCCTCATACCCCGGGGCCTCTTCTTGGCCTGTCAACATAAGGGCCGCGGGTCCGTGAACCGACTGACAGCCTGCTGGTGCTTTCAGTGGAAGCCTAATTACATTGTACAACATATTTAGAGGAAAGATAAAACCTCTATGGGAAAATAGTTGGGCTTAAATGGGGTGACAGTGTCAGTGGTGCGCCGTAATCTCAAAAGGTTACAGATTTGTTGTCTGAGAGGAAGATCTCATAACTTTTACAGTTGGTGCCTTGAGCAGAACGAACAGGTTTCTCAATCTGAATGAGATGCCGTGTACAAAACAGCTTTGTAAGTGCTGCTCAGGGCTTTTATAGTGCATTAACCTTTTTCCAAAAATGTAAGGAAATGCATAACACTTTTTTTTTAATCCTTCAGTGAGGTCAATTAAATTTTGGCATTGCATTGAATATTCCATTATGTTACTACACAAATTGTATGTTAAATTTATTATTTACCGCTAATGTAATGTAATCCCAATGATAATAAATAGCAAAGTAAAGTAGGGTTTAAAAGAGATTAATATTGCACTTAATTAATAATGAAGAAGTAGGCTAGCTGCAGTTAATTAATATTAATTAATGTAATTAATATTAATTAATGAATTAACTATATTTAAGGATACCTCTTTTGTTAAACACAGAAGCTACACTTAGTATCAGTAATTTTCAGCACTGTACTGTAATATATGAATAATAATTTTGCAGTAGTTGCAAATAGAAGACATAACTGTTTTTGCTATTAATAATAATATTATATTTGGTTAGTGAAGACTTTTTAGTGCACCCTAAGATGAAAGATAAAACTCCACTAAACAATACATTAATTTGAATAAGGTGCGCCAATAATATTTTCTTTTCTTTTTAGTGTTGGTGCAGCCTTCAATGTGCTTGTGGGGAGACTTTGAGAATCAAGCAGCAGCCATGGAGAACAGTCTGTTGCTCCAGGGTTGGTGCTTGGCCCTGACTGAGCATCAGAGGAGCAGAGTTTGTTCAAAGCACCGCAGTGATGGAGTATGTTGGTGAGGTATGAGGGTACAGTACAGTCTAACTCGCTTGAAACAAAACCTCCTCCAAGGTAATTACAAAAAGTGTCAGCAGTCTAAATGATGACCAAAGAGACCAAAAATATAATTGTTGACTACTGAAAATGTTCATTATGATAAGTGCTTATGCTGTTCATAGCGACACTATTTCTACATAAATTTGTGTGGGTTTTTTTTGTTTTGTTTTTTAAGTGAGTGTGTGTGTGTGTGTGTGCCAGTTAACATGTGTGCATGCTGTGGTCTGCTTAACATATTAATGCCATCTAGACAGATGAATCATGACTTAATTGGCTGTAATGAGCTCAGTTGTTTTTAATAAGCTATTCCTGGCAAAGTGAACAAGTAGAGTGGTGGGAGGTAGAGGACAGAGTAGTCCGAGTTGAAAAATCCTGTTGATGCTTTCATATAAACACTGCATGCTCTTTCCTTGTGTAAAAGGGCAGCTGGGCATTACTCAGCCTAAATTTATATTGTAAATATTTTTATTTTTATATTTGACAATCTAAACAAAGACAGATGTGATTTCCACACTGTCTGCTGTGACCTTTCCTGTTGTCCCTGCTGCTGTGGGCTGAGAGTCAAAAGAGCAGTGATGAGTCAGGAAGGAGGATGGAGTGATGGTGAGTGTTGCTCCTCCTCCAGACAGTCTGCCTCCACTCTGTGAACATGAAGCGGTGCGGTTGGCTAATGTGGCTGGGGAGAGAGCGGCAGAGCTAAGATGTCATGTCTGTCTGTTGGCTAACAATTAAATGTGGCACCTCAAGCAGATCAATTTGACTTTGAGGCTTCAGGTTTTAACTCCTCACTCATCTCTCACCCGTGTTCTCTCTCCCCACTCTCTCTCATTTTTCTTTTCTTTTTTTTTAAAAAAATCTCCCTGGCTCGCTTTTTCTCTCCTGAATTTTTTATTTTCCCTTTTGGCAAATTAACCTCTAATTTCCTCTAATGCCCTCACTTCTATAATATCTTTTCCCCTTCAGTTTTTCCTTGTTTCCTCCATTTTTTGAGGTTATGTCTTTGTTTTAAAAAATGCAACTAAGCTGAAATCAGAACATAACAGCACATCACAGAAACCAAAGTAAAAAAAAACACAGAGAGTCACTCGCGCCAGACAGACTCCTGATTCAGGACGGAGACGAGCGATGCTGCGGGGAAACACAACACCAGCACAAACCAGCACTTGAAATATCAACGCTCCAGCCTTCTAATTAAAGCCAAGACTAATGGGCCCTAATTGCATCGCTAAAATGCACCAGTTCTTTTCTCTCCAGTGTAACTTGACTACACTTCCCCCGTATGGATTAATGGGGAACGGAGCTGCAAACTAAAAAGCAGTTAATTTGTTGGAAGATCTGTTAGGAACGATGGGGGCGGAAAGGGAAAAGGAGGAGAAAACAGTGGAGGAAGATGAGGGTTGCCAGAGAAACAGAAGGATATCATCAGGCTCTTGTTATTAAGAATGCATTTCATATCTGTCTTAAAGGGGTTGCATTTAGATTAAGCTTGTTGATTTTACTTGTTAGTGACATTTGGCTGCTACCCAAACCTTTTTAGACTGTAAAGAACAGGAGGACTCTTACATTAACTACTTGTGGTTGTTTCTTAGTGGTTAGTTCAGAGAAAGGGGACTGGGGAGATATGCATTATTTCAAGGTTGCGGATGATATCTTGGCAGATATGATGCTGTGCATTAGAGTGCCTCTATTCCCTTTGTTTATCCAGGTAAAAACAAGAAGCCATTTTCTGTGGTGAGACAAAATGTACTTAACAAGAGTACAATATAAGCGTGTAAATTACTCTTTCCCCCAGGTGGAAAACCATTAAAGTTAGTACACTAATCTGCTTTTTTCTCCACCAGCCAGATCTTTCTTTGTTATTGGTTTACTTTTCATAATGGTTTTTTTCAATCAGATATTGCTATTAATCCATTAGAGGGTGATATTAGTTTTGTGGTCACTTCTGTGCACATTTCAACCATAGGAGGCATGAGCAAGAAGCTTCTACCCTGCATTTAAACTAATGTACCTTCAGTTCTGATGTAATACCCATTACAATGTAATACACAGGTCGGTGTATTGAGAAATGTGCTTTAATATTGGCCTTGTTATCCCTGCCAGTTAACTGAATGGGGGAAGAAATGAAGGAAAAAAATGGTGAAAGCACTTTGCAAGTATCTTTCACATTCAGACATCATTACTTTTGTCCAAGCGTCAAAAATAAGCACAAAATGAGAAAGGTCTTTTAACTTAAAAAGCAATTTGCTTGCAGTTGTTCCGCATCTGTACTTTGGGAAGTTTCAAGCAGTCTTTATGTTCACTTATTTTGGTCTTTTCAACAATAGATTGTAACTGCCTTCAAAAATTGTTGACATTATTTTCTATTATGTTTATTTCCTATAAGTGAGCTTCTTATGTTGCAAAGGTCTGCATAGGTGTACACACAAAAACATATACGCTGGCTGCGACAGAAACCTGCCAGTAAACAGAAAATTTGACTGGTAGTGGTGCTGATTTGCAGAAACTGAATGCAGGAGTGATTTGCATATCCAAATGTGTGCTGCAGGAAGAATTTTTGATGTCAATGAGAGTATTGCAAGGTATAAATAAATACAGTCAAAGCATGTGCACACTGAGAACACTGATATGATTTTTTAAATGTATTTTTTTAACAAATTTGCTGCTTTGAAGCTGTAAACACATCTTTATTTCAGTCAGTATGAAAATGAAATGTGCACGTGGTGAAAGGCGTGCAGCCAAACTGCTGTGTTTGCATATTTACAAATTAAACAAATATGTCGGATCTTTAAATGAAGTGAAAACAATTTGCACCTGTATTAATACAGCTGACTATCTGTTGTGTAGGAAGTGAAATATGAAATAAGCGGATTTAAATGACCCAAATTCAGAGTGATTGCTTTGCAGTTTACATGAATGCCTGTTCAAATTCAAATTATATATATTGAACTCTTGGACTTAAACATAAGCATGGCCTCTTCTCATGCAATAAAGTTACGCTGTTGAAAAATGTTTTGGTTTATTTAGTGTTTTCCAGAATGTTGCGATGCCTCAGTGATGCTGCCTTTTGACCTTTTGATATTACATATCATAACTCCTAATGTTTTATAACATATGATGATATCTTGAGTTGTGGCTCAAAACATGCGTAGTTACATTAAAGCTGGACATACACTGTGGGGTTTTTTCAGTCGCGTTATTCAGCTCCTGCTCAAACTGTACAATTGAATCTCAGGGGTTAGAAGTTCGAAGGTCACGATTCTGGGTCTTACACTATACGGCCCGATGCTCTGATGCGAGCTGAGTGCTCACACTGTGCGTCCATAACATGAAGCTTACAGCACAAAATCTGTCTCTCGCTCTCTCTCTCTGTCTTTCACTCACACAGACACACACACCACCACCATCAACTTTGCTAAATTGCTAATGAAAATCCAGGCAGCTGCAATTGAGCAGCAATGTCCATCCAACTATTTTCACGGTTGTTGTGGTCGTGATAATTTTGTGAGGCCACATCGAAAAGGCTCAGATGAGCTTGGTAAAGTTCTACAAGTTGGGCATCCATGGCTTGTGTCCAGATCACACGCTGCACTCTGTCTTTTTCACTTTTATTTCTGTGTTTTGCGCGTGCGCAGTGTGAGAGGCTGCGTTGATACCCTCACCAGGGGCGACAGGATTTCAGACAGGTTTGATTTTCTTGCGACCATACGATTGCTGATTGGGAGCTGGTCGTGAGGTGTTAATCGCTTCTCGGTGCCCCATGTATACTACACGATGCACACGATTAAGGTGAAACTCGGGCCGATCCCCAAAACGGTTGCACGACTGAAAACTCTGCTCAAAATGGGCCAAAGATCACGCAGTATATGCCCAGCTTTAGATGACCTTGACCTCTATGTACCCAAATCTAATTGAATAGGTGGTGGGGTAGTTAACACCGGAGCCTCATCGCATAAGCGTCCTGGTTTTGGATCCACCGGCCAGCTGGGGACTTTCTGTGTGCTCTCTCTGGGTACTCAAGATTCCTCCCACAGTCCAAAAACATTAAGGTTTGGTTAATTGGGGCTGATGGCGTGATACGGCAGCCTCGCTTCTGTCAGTCTGCCCCAGGGCAGCTGTGGCTGCAACTGTAGCTTGCCTCCACCAGTGTGTGAATGTGAGAGTGAATGAATAGTGGAATTGTACAGCGCTTTGAGTGTCTCGAAAAGCGCTATATAAATGCAATCCATTATTATTATTAATATTGGACAAAATGAAGCAAATGAATGGATGAATCTAAGGGAACATATGACCAAACTTCCTAAAGAGATTTTGAAAATATTTAGAGTTATGTTTTTCAACTTCAAGTAAAAAGATGTTTAACAACTGGTTGAGTGCTTCACAAGTCTTCACTTGTATCCGTTTTTGATTACATTAGTCTTTCCTGAAAAGTGATACAAAATGAGCCATCTTTCATTTTATCTGAATTTGGTGGTTTCTGTTAAATTGGCTTTTGTTTAATGTACTTATTTAATTTTTTCCAAGAAAAGCTGTACGTTTTTGGATGTTTTCCAAGTCTTTGAGCGTTAGCTGAAATCAATCATCACATTCAGGTGTACTACAAAGAGAATCTTATTTAAATTTGACAAAAATAAAATTTAGCCCAAAGTTCACTGTGACACCTGTCTTACTGTTCCTTCAAGTCAAGTTGACACAAGTACCTACCTGCTGCTGTCTGAAAGGCAGTCATCTGAAAGCAAGCAGAAGGTGTTAAAAAAAAAAAAAATCATAAACTCACATTTTAATCAGAAAACATATTAAATGTTTGAACTTAAAAAAAATCTACCATTGTCATACAGGCATAATGTTGTGAAGAAAGTGCACATTTTGACATCGAAGACATGAAAATGAAAATGTTGACATGGTAGCTGTGACCCTAACTGTATGCAAATTTAACACTAGCAAAAACCTTCTCAACACTTCCTGTT